TCCAGCAAATTCCTACCTACGTCACCGGCGTTCCCAACGGCACAGAAAAGGTGAGTTACAGCCCACAATTGGCTCATGTAGCTGCCCAAGCTAATTGTGTCTTGATAGGGCCTTTACCTAGCTGTTGATCTGGGAGGCACAAACTTCAGAGTCTGCTCCATTATGCTGAATGGCGACACCACCTTCAACCTCACTTACAACAAGGTTGCTATTCCCAAAAACCTTATGGTCGCAAGCACCTCAGCAGACCTGTTCTCTTTCCTCGCCAAGCAGATCGAAATCTTCCTGAAGGAGCACCACGCCGAGCACTTCAACTCCCACTTGCGCCGCCGCAACACCTCCAGCGCCCCCTCGGGTTATCGCGATGAGCACATTTTCCGTTTGGGCTTCACCTTTAGTTTCCCCGTCAAGCAGCTTGCTATTAACAAGGGCCTGTTGATTCGATGGACCAAGGGATTTGATATCCCCGATGCCGTAGGCAAGGACGTCTGCGCTCTGCTTCAGAACGAGATTGACAACCTTCACCTTCCCGTCAAGGTTGCTGCGCTTGTGAATGACACCGTTGGTACTCTTATGGCCCGATCTTACACTTCTACTGGCAAGAGCCGCTCCGTTCTGGGTGCTATCTTCGGTACTGGCACCAACGGTGCTTACATGGAGAAGCTGGATAACATCAAGAAGCCCATCACAGGCGAGTATGACCAGTCAACGGGTGAGATGGTGGTCAACACTGAGTGGGGTTCCTTTGACAACCAACTCAACGTTTTGCCCACCACACCCTGGGACAAGGCTCTCGATCTTGGCAGTGTAAACCCTGGTGACCAGATGTTTGAGAAGCGAGTATCGGGCATGTTCCTGGGTGAGATTGTACGATTGGCCGTGGTCGACCTGATCAACAAGGAACACTCGGCCCTGTTCAAGGATCTCAACTCGAGTTTCAACGACTGGGGTACCACCACTAACATCGCTCCCTCCTCCGGTTTCCTCAAGCCCTGGGGACTTGATAGCGCCATTATGTCTGTAGCCGCTGCCGACAACACCCCTGAGCTGTCAACTCTTCGCCAGGAGCTCGAGAACTTGCTCAACGTCTACACTCCTTCGCTGGAGGATGCCCAGGCTTTCAAGGCCATTTCCAATGCCGTCGGTCGTCGTGCCGCTCGATTGTCCGCTGTCGCCATTGGTGCTATCGCCATTAACTCTGGAAAGCTCAACGATATCAACGAGGAGGTTATTGATATTGGTGTTGACGGTAGTCTTGTTGAGCACTACCCCTTCTTCCGCGACATGATCTATGAAGCCCTCGCTTCCGTCGACGGAATTGGTCCTAAGGGTGCCGAGAAGATCCGAATCGGTATCGCTAAGGATGGTAGTGGTGTCGGAGCTGCCCTTATTGCCCTCGTGGCTGCCAGCAGGGAGAAGCCCGAGGATTACCTTACCGACCTGAGATCCGAGTCCAACCGCGCTCGCAAGTCTTCTGATCCATTCCGTACGTTCCACTCCTAACCCCGAGTCACCGATAATCCGGGCTCCTGTAAAGCAACATCTGCTAACCTTGAATAGTTGAATCATCACCCGTCTCCAACCAAGCCCTATTAGCTGGTGGCGTCGTTGGTATCCTTGCGCTAGCAGCCCTGTGGTACAGCAAGCGCCGATAAAACAACACCAACCGTTATTTCCCTTGAATTCATGCTTTGGAGTTCATTCTAACTTGGGACAACATTTATTATGTATATATGAGCATCAGAGGAGATGCGTTCATGTTCGTTTTTGGGACCTTTGGCGTCTTATGTCTTCAATATTTTTTTTATCTTTGCGCTCATCTCGCATTTAAAAGCTGTATATGCACGAGGCAACCAGTGTTTTTAACGATATAATTTGACGATGTCCAATACCTTTTATTGCCTTTATGATTGCTTTTGTATTACTATATAGTATGTCTAAGCCTGACTCTTTCTCCTTCAAGACATTTATTCCACCCTGACCATTAAATCATATACTATCATAAAGCATACCTGTCCTCTCAAAGAACAGTTTATACCAATCTTATTATCCTAGTCTATTCTCTAGCTTCCGAAAGCTGCAGCAGGATAGGAACGATCCCTCTTCTTTCGTGCGGCAGAACTACTCCTAGAGCTTGTACCAGAACCAGTACCCCCTGAAGCTCCGCGGGGCGGTGGCGCGAGTCGACTGCTTGCCATATCATCAGGCAGATCGTTCCATTCCCTCTCTGGTCCTTGGTTCTGGTAGGATCGTGCAGAAGCTGACATCGGTGGTCGCGAGGCGCCATTCTTGGGAGGGCCGGCGGCTGGTTCCCGATTGGCAACAGCAGCAGTTGCGCTGGCAGCGACAGAGCTTGAGGATGCTAAGGAGGAAGAAAAAATCAAGTTTCGAACAGAAGCACCTGTGGGACGGCTGACTAGCCACGCGGAATTCGGGCGCAGCTTGAGATAGTAACCTTGGATGGGTTGGTTTTCGCGCTTGAAGCCTCTGCCTTCGTACCACTTCATTCCTTCCTCATTCTCGGTCCAGACATGAGCCGTGACAGCCGTCACATTTAAATTGGGGTCCGAAACAGCAGTGGCAACGATGTTATCCACAGCGGCGTTCACGAGCCCGAGCGATCGGTATGGTGAAAGGAGACATAATGACTGGATGTAGAGGTTGTGAGGAACATCGCCTGGAGTGTTGGGATCGAGAAGCGGCTCGACTCGACAGACAACACCACCGATAACCTTGGCCTCAGCACCGTCATGGGCCCATGTAATGACTCGAGAGAAGCGACCAGAGGCAGAGGGATCTACGGCACGCTGGTAGAAGTTGTCAGGGTAGCTGACGGGCAGTAGGAGGGCGTTGATGCGACGTAAAGCATTGACGTCGTCGCCCGTGACGGGTCGGATTATCGCTTCTCGAGGAAGGGAGGTCGGTAGAGGTGGAATTTCGAACCCAGAGGTTGAGGTCGAGTTCGTGGTTAGTGGGGTGGTAGTAGCTGCTGGCGGAGGGGGAGGAGGAGGAGGAGGAGGAACTTTGGCGGCCGTTTGAGAAGGAGGAGGCGCATAGTTAGGCACCTTTGACGAGAAGAAGGATCGGATAGAAGTTTGAGCGGGTTTGGTAGACGGGAGCGACATGACTGCGATGTATGTATATATGTGTGCGTGTCTTGGAGAGGTAGGTATGTTTGTATATAAACGGACTCGGTAGGTTGTCGAAGGAAGGGAGGAAGGATATAGAATCGAATAATTTAAGTTAGAGAGATTTGCGGTAAGGAAAGCGAAAGGCTGGGGTAAGCGAGACAACGATCCGCCCGAATTAAGTAAACCGTAAAGAGTAGGTTGATCAGGAACAGAATGGGATTATAGTTTCGTAGAGAGGTATTCAAAGGGTTGAAAAAGAAATCTAGTCGAAATTGGAAAGGGAGGCTCTAATGCCCAGGTACGTAAGTAGGGGACACTAGCATGGATCATCCAATAAATGCCAACCAAGATGATGGGAAGAAGCCAATCCCACGTGAAAGATCTAGATTGAAATCGATCTTCATTCGTAGAGAGGGAACCAAGGTCCATCTACACTGCAGTAGAAGCATTTTCAAGGTACCCGCCCCCTGAAAGTCGATTTGACATGTGGACTTTTTCTAAGGGGCTTTGTGAAATGTCAGATCCGACTGTATGGATACCTAAACGAGTGTGTTAGACACAGGAATTTAGGAGGGATTCAAGTGCTGAGGTGGTGGGTTTAGGAGGATCATTCGAATAATGGCATAAAACAATCATCTTGAGGATCAGTTACATCTATCATAAATCTCATGTTCTGACTCCTGCTTTGGTGCTATCTTTGGGGATAGACTTAGAGTCCTTTCCCATGCAATCCGAACCATAATGTTACTGTTGAATCGATGTTGCAAGGTTTGTCGATCGTGTTCATGGCTGTAAAGTGTGAGTTGAGTTGAGGTTGTCAACCACATGGATTGAACTCAAGTGAAGTACGACTACTTTTATACGCCAGGAATGACAACTTTGACATGTTCCTATTATCCCGTGGCAGAATACCGTACATGTGCCAGTCACGCCCCTGATCTGACTGTTAAGAATCCTTTTCCGAAACTCTCAAAGGAAATCCCTTTCTCTTTGCTTAATTCAGTGGCTGGCGCTAGTTGCTGTAAGTGCTGGTGTGCACCGGCACACGCTTGAGGCTCTAGAGTTTTTTTCTTCTTATTCTCCTAACTACTTTTACTTCTAAACAGACTTCAAATTTCCCCCTTGTTGATACTTATAATATTAACCTAGGGTTCACCACTTGTCGCTGCGCGAATTCACTTCAAAGTCTGTCGCTCTTGTCTTGATTAGCCTCAATTCTTACCTCCCACTTACCTGGGTAGTATTAGGCGGGTCTCGTCCATGGTTACTCGCTCAACCCAACCCAACCTTCTTTTCTTCGCCCACCCAAACGCAAACGCTGCGCTGCATTGCACTGCATTAAGTGCCAGTACTGCCAATAACTGCTACCCACCTCCTTACAGACGGAGAGACTGGAGAATAGAGAACTTCAATTGCTCATAGCTCATTGCTCATCTCACTCCTCCCCCATTGTTGGCTTTTTTCCCTCCTGCGATTTTCATCGTTTTACCCCAACCAAACAGAGTATCACTCGTCATTCTCACTCATACTTGGGGGCTGTCTCCTCTCTTACAACTAATTCTCGCACTTATCTTTCAGAGTCTATCTTCACTCGAGCTATTTCCTTCTCGCAGGAACAGCGCTGCACAGCAGTCTAGTCTACCTAGTCCATAGTACTACTGTACCCCGGGCTGGCCTGTAATTCCATTCCGTGCACACCCCCCTCCGCCCGGTTCGGTACAGTTCAGTTCAGTCCAGTACGGTGCGGTAGCTGCCGTTTTGCTCCTCGGCATCATTCATCACACGATTTCAGTTACACACCCTCCGCTTTGCTTTACTGTACAAAAAAATCGTCGGCCCTGGCTCGGATTCAGGACACCCGGCGACATCATGAATGCTGGTACAGGCAGGGCAGGCGTCATAAGCGCTGGTGACGATGCTTCGCCTATGGATAAGCTGGTAAGTTATTTACTCTCGTCGCCTCTTTGCTTGCTTAGCAACTTCCCTGCGATGCAATGCGATCCTCACCACAACGTCGCTCGCGAGCGCCATCATGTCCTCCGCGATGATGCCTCATCTCTCTGCGCCCCCTATCGCAGCGACCTCGCATCAAGCTTCTCGCTCACCACCCATCAACAATTTTATCTCCCAACTAATCGCTAATTGACGCTGCATAGGCACATGCTGTATTAGACGATGTGCTTTACAACGTTCTGAGCGATCTCTTGATGAAGACGCATCGCGAAGAGAAGACTGCCAGAGCTACTACCGCTGCGATTCGAATCGAGAAACTGGCTTCCGACGCGTCTGATGCCAACACACTCGATAGTAAACCTGATGTGCGGATAGAGACGGACGCTGCCATCTATGAAGACGGAAAAGTGTTACTCAAGGGCAATCCACTCAAGACCACCGCCGAGATCCTCTGCCCCCGATGCCATTTGCCTCGACTCCTCTATCCCACTGACGGAAAAGGCGCCAAGAAGCCCGATCCCAGCATAATCTATTGCAAAAAACATCCCTATATCGACAAGCCTGGATGCGACATCTATGGGCAGAGTTGGGTTGGTCCGGGCCCTGGCCGAGGCAAGAAGAAGAAGGACATGGAGAAGAACAACACCGACTCTCCCACGCCCGAACAGCGACCGCCCAACGTGCTCTCCTTCCCCTCCGCCACTTGCAGCAAGTGCAAGCGTTGTATTCTCGTTACTCGACTCAATAACCACATGGGCTCGTGCATTGGCAATAGTGGGCGCAATGCCAGTAGAGCCGCGGCGCAGAAGTTGAGCAACGGCGGATCGCAGAACGACCCTACGCCTCCATCATCGCAAAAGGCGACTCCCGCACCGGGTTCTCGCGCCACCAGCCCAAGGAAGCGCGACGCCAGCGATGATGATGAGGATTCCGAGAATAGCCACAAGAAGAAAAAGATCAAGCCTACGTCCTCGGTCACAAAAAAGGTAATTTTGAAGACAAAGCCGAGCTTTAAGAAAGACAAACCCAAGGGCCTTTCGTCATTAAGTCAAGAGCAAAAAGCCGACTACACTAATGGCGACTCGGTTGAAGTGGCCCCTAAAAAGGCCGTGTCTAAGGGAATCAGTCCTGTCAAGAAGCTCAAGATGAATAAACCTCAGCTGGGCTCACCCAAGCCAAAATCCAATCTCATCAGGGAAGCTACAGGGGAGTCAGAATCGTCCGACACTCTTTCATCTCCACCCCAGTAAGCCTTTGCTCAACGGGTTTGGGCTTAATCGCATCTTGTCAGGTGTATCATGGCTACAATGGCGTCACATAAAAGCTGTATTTCCAAAGCTCTAATGACCACACCGATCAGCATACATTTATGGTTGGATACATAGAGGCAGGCAATACGTTACGCGACCAAGAAGGCACTTACTTATCGTGGCCCTTTTTTTTCACTTGTATTATTCTCATCAACATTGCATTGACACGGCGGGCTGGTTGGCTAGGATGACCGGGACCGGATATTTACAGCATCCACGGAAAAGGGACCGGGGCGTTATTGGCGTACCAAGTATAACAATTGATACTTTCAGAATATGTGTGTAATCTTGAATGTGATATGTGCTCGTGTGACATGTAAGATATATTGTCAGTGCTCCTGAACGCCATGTACCTATGCAAAGAATTTATCTAATCCCTGACTCCTCTTCGCTTTTCAACTAGATCTGCTCCTCCTCTTCCACAAAACGCGCCTTGACAATCTTGACTTCCTCAACTGGTCTGTCTTCAGGACCAGTCTTGACCAGACCCATCCTCTTAATGGTACCCATTCCAGACTTAACCCTGCCAAAGATGGTATGTTTGCCATCGAGCCAAGGCGTAGGCGCAAGCGTGACAAAGAACTGCGACCCATTCGTGTTTGGGCCCGCGTTGGCCATGCTCAAGATGCCGGCGCCCGTGTGCTTCAGACCCGGATCGATCTCGTCCTCGAATTTCTCGCCAAAGATGGAGCTTCCTCCGCGGCCGGTCCCCGTAGGATCGCCGCCCTGAACCATGAAGTTGGGGATGATGCGGTGGAAGATGGTGTTGTCATAGTAGCCGCGACGGACGAGGGTGGTGAAATTGTTGCAGGTCTTTGGGGCGTGCGAGGTGTACAGCTCAAGAATGAGCAAACCCTGCAGTTAGTTAGTTAGTAACGCTTCTATAATCGGAGGGTTTAAGAGACGTACCATTGTGGTTTCTAGCACTATATTTGTTGTCATAATTGCTTGCTGCTGTATGAAAGAGAGGTGAAAGGATGGAATATTTTATGATGGAGTATGAGGATAAGGCTGTCGCATTTTCTAACATTGTTCCTGGTGGCTTTAGTGGCTCTGACCTAACGATTGGTCGCTGAAAACAGATGTTTGCAGGGGACCAATCCCTAATTAGTAGCGCATCTCAGCCTCAGGTTTATTGCATATCAGTTCTTTCAGTTAACGTCATTCAATAAAATGAACACTGCATCGAGATAATCTCGTTATTTCTCTTTCAAGGCAGTCAATCCTTTCTGTTTATATCACCGTAAAATATTTCAGAGCCAAACAACACTTCATAAAGCTATTCAATATTGCGTTTGTTATCGCTGAAATGTTATAGTCTGCGGATACCTACAACTTGTACAGACTCAGAACACGTTGCTCTCCTACAACATCACCAATACAATTAAGCCAAGCCCCAAAAATGGCTGAAAACGCTACAGATACGGCCACGCTCGAGGGCTCTTTCGATACCTTGAACTCTACCACAGGAACAGAAGAGAGTTGGCTATCAGCTTTCTCGTACCTTCAAGATCAAAGCTTTCTTATGCTTGAGCTTAGACTTGTACTCAGCGCCGTCGGCATCATCTATCTCGGTGCTCACGCTGCTCTTCGCCGACCTCCCTCTGCAGCACCTGCGAAGAAGAAGAAGGCAGGTGATGAAGATGAAGACGAGGAGCGTTTTGCTCAGGGATTGGAGCCATCAGATGCCATCATTTTCCCGCTCATGGCTGGTGTTGTCCTCGTTGGCTTGTACTACCTGATCCAGTGGCTCCAGGACCCCGACATTCTCAACAAGATTCTAAGATGGTACATGTCTACCATGTCTATTGCCAGCTTGGTGTCTATCTATTCTCATGGGATCGAAGTGGTTACAAGCCTGGTGTTCCCACGATACTGGCGGGGACGAGATGGGCGTTTGAGGGCAGTGAACCAGAAGAACAGATTTGCCCAAGTCTGTGATGATGCAGGTAACCCGACGGCAGATGTTTCGACAACAGACAACCCCTTCCCTGGAATCTTTGCCTGCTTGGCGTTTTCAGAGAAGATTCGCAAGTCAGGATGGGGGTTGCGCGGTCTTCTCACTCGACATTGGGCTGTCAAGCTCTTCATCCATGGCATGGGCAAAGAACAAGGCAGAATCAAGCTTGCTCATGTAGTATCCTTGGTCATGGCCTTGGCTACGGCGCTCATCTACTCTTCAACTACATCGCCTTTGTTGGCCAACACACTCGGCTACGCCATGTGCTATGGCTCACTGCTTCTGATCTCCCCAACGGACTTTTTGACCAGCACTCTGATCCTTGTTGGTCTGTTCTTCTACGATATCATAATGGTCTTTTATACGTGAGTTGGCTGTCTGACCTCTCATATTAAGCATGTTACTAACGGTTCCTAGCCCATACATGGTCACCGTCGCAACCAAACTGGACGTACCCATCAAGCTCACTTTCCAGGCTGCGGAGCGCAAGAGTATCCTTGGCCTCGGTGACATCGTTATTCCAGGTATGGTGATGGCTTTGGCCCTCCGATTTGACCTCTGGCTTCATTACGAGGGCAAGATAAAGTACGAAAGCACCGACTTGAAGCTTATCGAAAAGGACCCATCCTCAGGAGCTCTTGTCACGAAAAGCAAGACCAAGCACAAGGAGGTCAAGGTTAAGTACGTCAACGTGAAAGGCAACTGGGGAGACAACTTTTGGACTCGTGGAGCTTTATTCATCTCTGAGTCTAAACAGGTGCCCCAAGACCTGGCAGCTACACGTTTTCGCAAGACCTATTTCTACGCTTCTGTCACTGGGTATCTCCTTGGAATGTGCGTTACCTTGGCCATGCTTTTGGTATTCAAACGCGGCCAGCCTGCACTCTTGTACCTCGTTCCTGGCGTTCTGGGTTCGCTGTGGTTGACGGGCTTGGCCCGTGGTGAAATCAAGCAGATGTGGAAGTACACTGAGGACGGAAGTCTTGATGTTATTGACGTGGTTGTTGACCTGGATGGCCATGGCAACGCTGTCAAGACAATCGGCAAACTCGAGAATGGCGTTGTCGATCTTACCAAGGACGACAAGAAGGAGAAAGAAGATGAGAAGAAAAAGGAAGAGAAGAAGGGTGATGGAAAGGAACAGCACCGTGTCTTTATGCTCTCAGTTGACGCCGAAGAAGAGAGCAATCCGGAGTAGACTCTTGGAAAAGAGATTATCAGCAATGAGGTTTGAACAAAAGGACAATGAGCAAAAGAAGAGAAAAATAGACATCACTTGGCGCAATAGAACAAAATACATCAGTTTAATGCTGCATGCCAGCCAGGATAGATTTCACGATCGAGTCGCAAGTACGGTTTTGTTTGGCATTATCATTAACATTAATATTAAATCTGGACTGCTTCACAACTGGAAATATTAATCATTATCTCAAGTGTCACTGTATTCATATCCATATCCACATCTTCGTCTGATTCTCATTCTTCGTAGGAAGACCAAAAAAGAGATGAAGAAGAGTGAGAAAAAGAACTCTCCTCGAGTCTGTATTAGTTGGGAACATTGGCCACCACCAACGCTCCGTTAATCCCCTGCACCACGTAAAGGTTCAGACTCTCAGCAGGGGTCGGCCCATCGACCCAGTAGAGTTGTAGAGGGGAAAAGGGCTCTGCTCCGATCTGGGTTTCATTTGGGTTGTGTGTTGTGCCCAACAGTCGGCGTTAAGATGGGCGGGTGAATAGTAAAAATCGAGATTGTTGCACGTGAAGGGGGTGCCTTTGGCGTTGACTTGTCTACCAGTGTTGTTTTGTGCGTATTGGATTGTTGGATTAAACAACATGGGTGGTGATTTGGCGCAGGATGGCCCTTCAATTGGCAATATATCTCGCTTGGCTTGAGCCATAAGATAGAAGGTGTCGTTGCTATGCCCAGAGCGAAAACAACTCAGGCGTAAGCAGAACAAAGCAAAGAAGATTGAGTAAAGTAAAGGTAGAAGTTGAAGTCGAAGAATAATTGAAGTAAAGTGAATAGAAGTCCTCTTGGACATGGTAAGCTGTACAGATTTAAACAAGCTTACAATGTGGTGGTTTTGTCGAGGAGAATAGAAGTAGCAGGAATCTCGTCCCAGACTCGACTGCAAAAGTGGTCCTCTAAAGTAAATAAAAAGAAAGAACCTACTCTAAAAGTTCAAAATTCTGCAAAGATGACATCTTGTTGGTATCTTTATACTTGACCTTGATTCCTATAATTCCCGTTTACCCTCCGGCCCGTGTTTCGGTCGGGCCGTTCAAAAGACCCCACCTCCGACATCCCGGGTTTCGTCTTGTTCGGCTTCCGAGTCTCACTTTGTCTCATGTTTTTCCCTTCACCCACTCGATGACTTCACAAACTTCGTGTCAACTCTCAGGCATAACTTCAAACGATCATTCTTCCCAGCTAATGTGACGCGGCTCATATTTAGTCAAGTAATAATTGTATCAAGAATGAGTCAGACCCAGTCTTCACCCACAGTCATCCAGTGGGTTATCGACACTCGTCCTCTGTGGCCATCAGCCCTCAAGACTAAAGATCTTACCACCAGTGTAAGTGCTTCTTCATTCTCAGCCTCGAACCTGATACTCATATTTTCCCCTCAGGCTTCGCGTGCTCTTTTTCTTCTCACTGTCGAGGAACAAGCCTCCGTTCTGAGATATTACCACGTTCGCGACGCCAAGCTTGCTCTCGCTTCTGCACTTCTTAAGCGCTATGTTATATCTCGCTTCTGCCAGGTCCCCTGGTCTGGAGCCAAGACTACTCGAGACGCCCGAACCAAACCCGTGTTTATCTCGCCATGCGGCGATGAGCCACTCATCTTCAACATCTCGCATCAGGCTGGTCTCGCAGTTCTCCTAGCCGTCCACAACCCTCCCGAGGGACTTGCTGTAGGGGTGGATGTTGTTTGTCCATCGGAACGTAGGGATCGCGATCTACGTAACCTAGCAGACGAGGGGTGGCCGAGTTTCGTCGATATGCATGCCGATGTCTTTGGTCCTGAAGAAGTTGCAGCACTGAAGCACATGAAGCCCGGAACACCCATACCCGAGCGGGATCGCGCATTGCGCTACTTCTACGCGCTTTGGTGTTTGAGGGAAGCCTACGTCAAGATGACAGGAGATGCCCTTCTAGCGAGTTGGTTAAAAGACATTGAGATGCGAGACTTTGCCCCGCCTGAAAATATGCGAAAAGTCCAGGAGGTTTGGCTTAAAGGGAAGAGGGTTGACGGAGTGGACCTGAAACTCATGTCGTTTTTAGGGGAATACATGATATCGACTGCCGTGAGGCATGGGCTCAACGGAGAGACTGTCGAGTTGAAAGACTTTCAAACTCTCGACCTAGAGGAAGTATTAGAATTTGGGGAGAATTTGGCCAGTTCATAATCTTCACGAGTGTAGCAATAATGATAAATGAGTACATCAGCAATTGTTGTAGAAGATTATTTGGTATTTCCATTGGTCATATCTCATGGCACTTAAATACGTTGCATCCCTTGACGTTTAGAAGTTCTTACCAAAGAATTCAACAACGGTCTTGTAACCCCGTTCGTACTCCTCTTTAACACGGGAGTCACTAAGATCGGCACGAGCGGCCATCCAGCCATGGATCTGATCCTTGAAGGTCTCAACGTGCTTGGCCACCTTGAGGTTGTCCTCAAACTTCTTGACCTCTTCTTCCGGCTCTTCCTTGGAGGCGAGCAGCATGGTAGGGACCGAGAGACCCTCAGCGTCAGAGGCATCGACCATGGCAGGGTGAATTTGGGCAGCAATGGAGAAGGGATTGGAGTCAACCTTGACACTGAGAGCAACGACTTTGCCACCCCAGCAGTACTGTTCAGATTCATGTCAGTCATATAATCTCGTCTTAACAAAGTTACTTACACCAAGGATACCGAACTTCTCAATGGAAGAATCCTGCTCCTTGACGGCCTTGACGTAGTCGGGAACCTGACCAGCAACCTTGGGAGGAGGGTAGGTCTCAAAGAACTCGCCAAGCTGCTTTTTCTTATCGTCGTTGTCTGGTGGGTAACTAAAATTTTGGTATTAGCCTGGTTCTACAAGCATTGCAATCTTTGCTCTCACATCTCAATGGGGCATGGGCTGCCCTTGAACCAGTCAGGGATAAAGACCTTGTACTTCTGATGAGCGTCACTGAAAGCGAGGATATCAGCCCCCTGAAGAGTTTGTTCGAAGTAACCAAAGATGTCGTAGATCACGACGATGGCCTTTTTCGCATCAACAGGACCGGTAACATCTGCTCGTGTTAGTGGTGCTTTTTGTGATACATGCCGGTCTCGTACAAGTCTTGTAGCCTCCAATCTCCTTGTAGGTTCCCTTGGCCTCGTATCCCTTGGTGACAACAGGTGGAATGTTACAGCAGGCCTCGCTGTGGCCGTGGGACGCGGGCATAGTCGACATGATGGGCGATTTGGTATTGATCACGCAGTTGCTGATGAGCTATGCGTTAGCAATATTTCTGTTTCAAATGGGGAAGAGATGATGAGAAATCTGCGTCAATTGGAAGGGAATACCATGCTACAACTTACATGCTTAATTCTGGAAATGCGCAGAAACAGAAACAGAATCGTTAATTATTTTACTGGCGAGGTTGATGGAATTAAATGGAGGGCGCGAGCTTTCAAGACTGCGGGGAGGAGGGGCAGTAGCGTGAGACCGGGGAAAGAACCAATGATGTCACGATTCATCAGTAAAGTATGACTGCCGTGTTCAGGTTCTCCATAAAGACTGATTTTACCCAGTTTGCATATAAGGTCTCTATTACCTACCTAGGTAGGTAGATACTACGTCTATGTCAGTGAGACAATGTCTTTTTTTCATACCATCAGTCCCGACTCTACCAAGACTCGGCCATTCATTTACAGTCAGTCCCGTACCCGTCATGTCATTCATAACTCTCTCTAGACTAGTCTTGTCTAGCTACAGTCTACGGCTACAGTCAGCCCAGTGGGGATGATCCAAAGCTCAGAGGTAAACAAACTCAAGAACAAATCATTGATCAGGGTAATCAAGCTTTGAATATGATTATTTATTTCCTTTGTTCTATCCTAAGAGGCCATTGAAAGCCCATCGCTTCACATGGCCAGCCGTTAACGCTATCCTATTGTGACCTCAAATATCGAGACCGGTCCGAAACTCCGTTCCGTAACCCTATGCAAGCAAGAGCCAAGACTCCTTCCTTATGCCGCGTGTTTTTGTTTAGTTAACCTCTATACATTGACAAAGACCATTGCTTTTATGGCTCTGCCCCAGACAGTCTGGGATGGACTGCATCATGCTCGGATATCCATCTGCCATCTGTCTATATTCCTTGGTCCATGCCAACATCAGCCAGCCAGCTCATCTTCGCCTTAACCAGGACCGTTGCTGTTTTCCAGTCCTTCTATATGATATTCGTCACCTTACTGGGGAGTTTGGGCTGAGCCCTCCCATTCGTCGCACAACCACCTGCATCTTTTCAATGAGCTCCGGGATCCTGTATGGTTTTACCATCACATCATCACACCCAGCTTGTTTGGCTTCCATAACTTGCTCGGGCCGGGCGTTGGCTGTGACTGCGATGATTGGCATCCGGCCGCCTGATGCACAAAATATCTCTCCCTCCGCTTCTAATTCACGAATTATTCGTGTGCACGTCAAGCCGTCCTGAACAGGCATCTCGATATCCATCAACACAAGATTAATGGCAATGGGCAGCGAATGTGTATGGCTCCTCCCTGAACGACCAGGGACCCCATTGAGACCAAGTCCTGGAACAGTACTCTGGCGCCTTCTCAGTATCTCGAGAGCTTCGACTCCATGATTCGCGACATCGGCCATGAAGCCCCGATCTGTCAATCCCCGTCTTGTGATCTGCTGATTGATGAGATTGTCTTCGACAACAAGGATCCCATCTAGTCGAACGTTTCCTCCCGGATTCTGATGTTTTTGTAGGCGAATGTCGCGGCAGTTTTGCTTGCCATCAGCCGAGTCGGCATCACTGCCACCCGTGATTAGCCTGGCCGCAGCGGCAGCAGCCAGTGCTTCGTTCCTGGAGGCTTCGCTCGGAACATATGCCTCAATGTAGAATGCAAAAGTCGAACCCACGCCAGGTTGACTCAAAACACCAATCGCTCCGTTTTGAAGCTCCGTCAACCGGCGCGAGATGAACAACCCAAGGCCAGAGCCTCCGTATTTAGTATGCGTCTTGGCGCTGGCTTGGACAAATTTGTTGAATAGGCTGCCCATCTCTTCTGCCGTTAACCCTTGGCCGGTGTCCTTGACTTCGAACAATAGATACACAGCCTTAGTCCGTTCTTTGAGTGCTGGCTGGTCGTATTCTTCCGACACATCACAGAATCGAGGAATAAATTGAACAGCGGTCATGTCTTCTCCTGGCGGTGTCAATGATCCTTTAACGCCGAGGGTGACGTTGCGCGTAGTACCGGATTTAGTAAACTTCAAGGCATTCGTAAGAAGATTGATGAGGACTTGCTGGACCCTGCTTGGGTCAAGATCGAGATAGTCGTAAGCGAGATCCTTGTACGACTTATCGACATATGAAGTCAGCTCAATATCGACACGGCGAGCCTCCACCTCGAACATCTTGAGCGCCCCATTGACAATTTGGATCGGGTCTACCGTGCAAGGAGTAACGGCAAGTAATTTTGAGTCGAGTTTGGACATGGTAAGGATATCATCGACAATGCGTTTCTGGTGTTGAGCGCATGTCACAATAGTCTCTGCATTCTCAATGCTGTCTTCCAGAAGCTTTCTTTCTTCGACCGATCGTTCCCCTATCCTTCTTCCTTCGCCGCTGGTACCGTTCCGTGTTGGCGTGAGAGGAGCAGAGTTGTCACTAATGTCCTGTACTCTCGCAAGGGAGGCGATAATGGCGTCAGTGCAGTGAAGTATAGCGCTCAGTGGGTTCCGCATCTCGTGCGAGGTCATGTCAATAAAGTTCTCCTGCTGTCGTTTGGATTCGATAGCCTCTTCTTTGCGGAGTTTCTCTTGTTCCAGTTGCCATTTCTGTACCGAAACATCGCTCAAACAGCCTGTGAAAGACTGGATCACTCCGTCTGAACTCTTGACTGGCATGAAAGTAGCAAGAACCCATCTGGGAGCGACAGACGAATTGCCATTACCATCTTCGCTGACCCAGCCATTGCGGAGGCGGAATTCGGCCGTTTCAGTACGCCCGGACTCTACCAGTTTGTCGAGGCTTTCCTGAAGAATATAAAGGTCCTCCTCGACAACACATTCTGGCCAGGGGCGCACGTCTACTTTGGTGAGGTCAACTTTCTCCAATGCCGTCAGTTCCCAGAAAAGGTTGTTTGCACTAAGAAGTCTCCCATCCATGCTGACATCGTACATTCCAACCGTAGCAAATTCGGCAAGCCGCTTGAGGTTCTCTGCTTCTTGCGCTCGTCTTACGGCTTCCTCGGCAGTATCCTTTTGCACTGTCACATCAGTCAGGCAAGTGAGGATTCGGATGACGCTGCCGTCTGGTGCTCGTTCGGCTTTAGTAGAAGCTAAAATATGGCGCGAGACTCCTTCGTCCATTACAGGTAAAGGTCCGGCAGAGGATCTGAAACTTGGCGGTTCTGTCGTGTTCTCGGTCCGTGCTATACGGTACTCAAAAGTGACTGTGTCGAGCTTTTGGACATCTTTGTATGCTTGCATAACTTTCTCCTTGTCCTCTTCGAGAACTGATTCGAGCAACGCGCCCTGTGCGATCGGGCCTTTGGGATATCCAGTAATGCGATGCCAAGCGTCGTTGGCAAACGTGATGTTACCCTGGTTATCGACAAAGCACATCCCTACAGGGATAAACTCTGCCACCGCAGTGAACGTTTTCGTTGATCTCTCGGCTTGTTTGGTCTGGTATTCCAGCCGTTGTGTAAGCATGGCATTGTCATAGGCGGCCTGCTCAGTAATATTGCGCCGCCGGCGTGCCTCTTCTTCCAGAAGAACTGCTGAAGCTAAAGAACTCGTGAGCTTTTGGTTTAGTAGTAAAATGAATTGTCGATAGTCGTTGTCGTATGGGCGTCGAGGATTTAAGCCCAGAAACAGAACACCCATTACATGCTCTTCCTTTGTAGGTCGAACAGGTAAGACAACGGCCGCTTGGCAAGGATCACCGAAGCCGCGCCATTCTAATCCGCGAAGCAAATCCTTTGGCAATGTGCCATCTTTAGTCTGTAAAAGTACCGGTTGCCGCTCATCCAATGACCGTCGTAAGATAGATGCCATGCCATCATCTGTATCTTTGAGCTTGAGAACCGAAGGTGCAATCGCATGCCCTAGTGGTACACCAAGAGAACCCTCAAGTCGGCAAGTCTTCGAACAATCGTATTTCGATGATGTGGAGTCGACGTCGCTCTCCTCTACCGAATATATGAAGGCTAAGGGAACGTCGTACGCCGGGTTCCATCGTTCCAACTCTTCAATCATCCTGGACCAGTAGGACTTGGCGTCTTTTGTAGATACTAGAGCCTCGCCAAGATCGAGAAGCATCTTCATTCTTCGTTCCCATAGTCGTTTCGAAGTCATCTCGAGCAGCGAATGTTGAATACCGAGACAGTTCTGTTCGTACACAATAGGAACCATAGAAGACTTGGCATATGTCTCTTCAAAAGCTCCGTCCGCTTGGGGTATAAAGAATTTGGACTCGTCTTCGGCGTTGGAATAGTTTTTCATGGGTGAGGCTGTCATCTCATCGAGCCGAGTCTTCAACTGAGGCCAAGCTTCGGTAGCAGGCTGACCCAGAAGTTCAGGATGTCGTGCGCCGCAGTATTTGGAGAATGCTTCATTGTAGATGGTGATATATTCGGGCCCCCAGTAAAGTGCCACGGGTCGCGAATCAGAAACAAGCTGGTTGAATGTGTATTGCAGCTGAGCCGGCCAGTCTGCCATAGGACCCAGCGATGTCGACTCCCAATCCACGCTTTGCACCACATCAAGGAACGGCTCTGCCTCAGAGTCGGAAACAGGCACCATGAGGCCTGGATTTGATTCGTCGCGATAGACCATGGGCGTCTTGCTCTCCGATTTTTTTCGGGATGGTAATCGGGCATTGTCTAATGGTGATTTTTGGGGATATTTTCTCGTTTCCTCGCCTTGTTTTCCTTCTATTCGAACTTTGCGCGGAGGTTCTGACGAGGGAGGAGTTTCATTACCACTCATAACCACCCATTGGCTTAGCACAATGCTCCGAGTCCAGAAGACGCCGAGATATGGCAAGGAGTGTTGCGTGTTTGTCATTGCAGGGCCTGCAGCATCGCCTTCAGAGGCCGGCGCAGGTGGTGGGCTTGTGACCCAATTCCAGAATGGAGAATGAGAAGCATCTTGAGGAATGAAAGAAATTGACTGGTCGAGAGTATGCAAATTTTGTAGCGCAGGGTTTCGGTAGAGTATCTTGGCGGAGGAATCGTGTGTGCAGGACGCTTGCTCGGGCAAGGCAACGACGAATGTAGGTCGAGGGTCGGAGGCGACGAGGTCTACAAGACCGAGATTGTGAAGAGCTGAAGGCGGCATTGGGCAGGTCAATTATGCCGAGACCCTGTTAATGATGGGCAAAAGAGCTGTGAGTTGTTTGAGCCGTTTTGAGATTGAGGTCAAGATGGAGAGCGAGGCGAAGGAGTGCTCGTCTCTTGCGTCGTCATTTCAGTCACGAACTAGAGGGGACTCGTAAAGATGTTGAATTGAGTCGAGTCGGGTCGAGACGAATCGAATCGAGACGAGACGGACTATGAGATGTGTAACGATCAGGGCTGTCAAAATCGCACGCGATCGGTGACGTGTAAGTGGGAACAGTTCAGCCCAAGGATGAGGGTGAAGCCATCGTGTATCGATAATATGTGAATGAATTAACTGGGTAAAAGATGGTGTTTTGTTCACCTTGTAATCGGTGGGTTTAGCCAACTTCTTGTTTGTTGTACTTGAATTGCTTCTAACATTAAAGGCCTGTAGGTAGAGAATGTGCCAGGGCTAGGATCGGGGGGAGTGATCCATGAATGTGCGTAAGTGGAGTTCCTCATGCCTGACTTGAAGCTGTCAGTGGGCGAATAAGTAATGAATAACAAGATTTAGTGGCTTTTCCACCAAGGCCATCGGCTCCACTGTACAGCACCTGCTTCAGTGTCAGCGGTGAATTTCTGATAGCCCAGTACCACCTATGGAAGGTTCCTGCTGATATGACATAATTTTCTACCTATGGAAAAAGCCGCTCTATGCGCATCATATACATGTTTTCTCGTTGCCGTTGCATGTCAGATGGACTCCGTATCAGATTCTGAAAGTATTGCACCGCTGACAGAAAGAAAAAAACTTTAGTGACGAGATATCAACCATCCATCATAGAAGCGTCACCTGAGATACATAATAAATCCCTTACAGACTAGACTAGTCGCGCTAAGACAGCAAGAGCAGGGAACTTGTACTAGAAATCGATCACTTGGAGCCGGAGGTTGGGGGTTGGGGAGAAGTGACTAGCCAACATTTGCACCGGCGACCCAGGACTATAGTAACTATAGTACGGATACCATTTATTGAAAGAGGAAGGAGGAGAACAGCACATCCCTCGATATGTTAGTTAGCTGTTAATGTTGAGGTAATGTTCGTATCCCAAGGTGGTGTACCACTATGTCAACCTAGATAAGTTTCAAAGCGAAGCCATGACTCGGAAGAAAAGTTTCGACAAGTGAGCGAATTTTGACAATCACTGGGGTGAAACGAATAGTTGCCACAGATCCTATGTCACGTTTTAAACGTACGAATTAGGAACGCAGTCATGAGAAAGGGAAAGTCTGGGTTTCTTATTAATTAAACACCTCTGTCACGTTTCAATTCCAAGCCTTTATGTGTCTATCAAACATGGCGACTCTTGGAAACCATGAGCCGTCTCACCTAATTACCTTAGTACCTACTCACTAGGTAGCCATAGAATGCGCCTCGCTAATTACAATACTTGATTCGGTGCGGGCTACAGGAGAAAAGCACTAGTTTTTTGCCTATTCGGTTACTTTCCACCGAATAACAGCATGAAACTTATGCAAGCTACAAGATACTCGGCAAAGCTTAGCCTTGGGCGCTACAAAAGCAAAAGGTAGTTTGACAGCCAGCAAGCGTTGGCTGTTGCTAGTTTTCGGTTACTTTCAAAGTAGAAACTAAAGGTTATGCGGGGGGATAGAGAGGGGAAAAGAAAAAGAGAAAAGAGACGATTAGATATTCAACTGACACCTTTTACATGCCAATTGAAGGACCTGGTGAGTCGTCTGAAGCCGACAGATCTCGGGCGGGATACACCCCTGGCATGCAAGTTGGGTAGCAGGTAGAGTATCTAGTCCAGTCTAATGGAAACTAACGATTGAGTTTACTAGCTTACGGGCACCAACTGTCGATGGACAGATGTTATGCCATATGAATGCCACTTTCTCTAGTTTTTCTGCCTTTTTGAGTTTGGTTGCTGTTCGGAGGCTGCGCATCTCCCGCGCTGTCGGTAAGTAGCACTGTAACGGACTGACTAAAATTCAACCACAGTTTGCCGTACTCCTGTAGGTGCTTGTGTTGGTGGAGGCTACCATTGCATAAGCCATTGGCAGATTTAATTCGAAATGCTAGATTTGGTAGGTACCATTTCAATCTGAGCTTCTGTGTGGCTTGCTCGACCCAGGAGCCTGGTTCTTGGGTCGTGACTTCCTTGTGAATGGTCTAGATGCATAGATCTGACCCAACATTTAGCCCTGTGTGACTTCTATTTCTTACACACTTCATCACTTCTCCATAAGCATTACACACTTGTTTAAACACGGCTCTTTCGCTCACAACTTTCAACAATGTGCATTTGCTTCACCTCGCCCAGAGTGCCCAGAGGGGCGACCTTCAATCTCCAATCTCATGAATATCCTTTGATTGCAGGGCAAACATAGTATCACTGTCCCGTTCACCGGCGTTACCATTCTATCATCACCTCTGTATCTGTTGTTGAACAACCTTAGTGTGGGGAGTGCGCAGTTATCTTCTTTCATAAACACAAATATGCTGTATGGGCCCATTGGCATGATGTCCCTACTACGCAACACTCCGACGTCATTTACGAATTAGTGCAGCATGCCGAAGACGATCTTGAAGCACCCCTTGACGAGATCAATGCTACTCAAGAACGTATTCTTCTCATTTCGGACCTGCGAAACCCCGGTGCTTTTGACGATAAGAACATACAATACGCGGTACCTCGCCATGATGAAACATACCAAAAACTAGGAAGTTTTCTCATTCCCCACAGTATACCCAATATGTTTCTTCTTAAATTCATAACTTTCGATGGCGTTGAGGCGTACCAGCCATGTTCCCGGAACTTCAATTTGCTCAACCTCGGCGAGCCTCTGTGTCCCATCGAAACTGGCGACCTCGTTTTCGGTGAAGCCCGCAACTGGTCGTGCACCGAACAAGCCCGCCCACACTTGCCCAAAGAAGTGAGATGGATCCTTGCCACTATCTACAACTTCGCTTGTGTCATGTTGCGTCTCAGCCATGGTGAGAATTCACATTGGGAAATGAGGCCATGGCTCATGTACTTGTATTATGTTGCCGATAGTCTTTTCGTGGAGAACGGTATCCCTGCCACAGCACCAAGTCCAGAATAGTTTTCGCGGCCTCTGGGACCACCCGAGGGCCCAGAAGGCAGTCGCCGTTCCTTTACCTAAGAACCGGTTGGCCGTTGGCGGAGATTTGGTTTAAGCAACACTTTCGTCGGGCTGTCTATAGCTTTCTGGTACCATGGCTGGGATATTTAACATGCAAGCGATACAGGTAGCGATCAAAAGAATAAGTAGAAACATTTCCCCTCTTGAACATTTCTCTCCAACACTCACAAATATTCTCCCATATTTAAATCAAGGCAAAGCCTTGCTCGGTCTAGAGACTGTGAAGCATACACACAAACTCATCGTTCAGATGAAAGCCTCTCAATTTAACCAGACATCAATTTCTGGAAATGATTTACTGTGCGGCAATGAGGCTCATATAAACCCCCCAAGCAACACCGGCCAGAGCGCCCACAAGGTTGCGTCCCTCAACAGTTTTGATAGCAGCAAAGTTGACGATGCTCACAGCGGGCCAGAGCTTCCAACCAGCATAGATAAGAGGAGCAAAGTCGGTCTTGGCAGCTTCCCAGACACCAGTCCAGTTGACTCGGCTAAAGTCAATGGTACGCGGGGAAGTCCAGTAAGTAACGGCCTTGGGAAGACTAGTGATGACGGGGGCATCCTTGATGGCAAATCGAAGGGCATGAACATAAGTACTAAAGAGGAGCGTGTTCGCAGCGGCGCCAATGGTCTGGTCGAGGGTGAACTTGATGAGGGTGTTGCGGACTGAGAGCTTGGGCTGAGTCTTTTTGGTGCCTTTTGGATCCTTGGGCTTAGAGGGTTCCTCAGGGTGTGCTGGAAACGTTGATTCAAGAAAATCTTGCCTAGTGAAATGTCAGAGGGATTCTGAGGTACTCAAGATGGAGGCTTACCAGTAGAAGTTGGGCGGTGTGCAGATAATGTTGAATAATAGGAACTGGAATACAGGAACCCAATCTATAACGACGTCTGTCTATTAGAAAAACAAGTTAGTATCCAAACAGAATGAAGAGATAATACAGTGGATGAGTATGTCAACCTACCCCAGCTCTATAGGCTGTAATGACTTGAGCTAAGACATTGGCGATGCCACCCAGAGCAGCACTCTGAATAGTGGCCATGATCACAGGAGGGTATTGGAGACTCATGTTTGCTTGGGTGGGGTGCTATTCGGCAGTCTATACGTCAAGGTTGGAAGAGGAAGTGTTTAAAGGAGAAAGAGAGAGACGTGTTGAGTTGAGTTGAGTTGATGCCACTATGAGATCGGCGCTAAGATAGGCGAGCCAGGATTTCTGATGACACCCTACGAATGAATATGTCAGCCAGTGGATTATTGTCGCATCATATGCAACGATAGTAAACAACACTTGAAATGTCATCGTGCACAGTGAGACATTGTTTGAGTGAAGCGTCCAAATGGGCGGGAAGTGGCGTGCATTAAGCTTCTACAAATCTCGAGTCAGAGGCGTAGTCTGGTTACGTGTCCTTACAATTGGTCACGGTATATTGCAATCCAAATATATTCTCGTAGGTAGCAATGCAACGTACTCCTGAAAGCATTCAGGTAACAAGCAATTCTATCATATCATCGAGCGAATCGTTTGACGTTTCTTTGATGCTTCATCATTCAACCCAGATAGTTATCGTACATCCCCCAGTCGTCCCTCATTACCATCTTCATTCCTTTGTTAGCTCAACTTTTGTATCCACAAGACACCACCAGGTCTCGTAAACTCCTTTGCGAACGAATATGTTTGATACTAGCTATCTTGCTCAAATCCAAATTACCGTTCACGCTCTAGTGAGAATCCACATAAAGAAGAGCTGCACAAAGTAGGAGTACATGAAGAGGAACTTGGTGCGTTGGCTGCGCTTGGCTCGAGAGTCCGTCTGCATAGGTCCGCCACTAACGCCAGCTGCAGTCTCAGGGAGAAGGACGTACTTGAGCGATCGCATCTAAGAGATAGTTAGGATAAATGTATTGTCAAACGACTGGGAAACGTACCAAAAAGAGCGAGTTTGCCAGGTAGGTGTAGAAAAAGATCAACCAGCCGACCCAACCACCAGTGCCCTTGCCGCCGTTGAGGATCTCGGCAACGACAACAGTGACAATGATTCCAACGAACTTGTATCCCGAGTAGGCGATCAGATCAAGGAGCTGCGATTGGCTAGAGATGCTCAGGAGATAACATCCAAGCTTGAGGAAAAAGATCTCGACGATAACGACGATAAGACTGATTGTAGCTGTCTTTCCGAGAAGTTCTGGTTGGAACTGGTGGTTGAGACCGGCGATCAAGGTTGAGAGAAGGATATATGTTACCAAAGCCATAACTATCTCGTGGTTAGTTTTCAGATTGAAATATCATCACTTTGCGCTACACACCTGGGATGTACATATCGGGACTGTTGATGTCGTCTCGTGGAGGTAGGTACCAGCCATCCTGTCCGTTTTGCCCAACAGCCTGCTTTCGCGACCAAGGCTTGTGCCTCCAGGGGAAAAGGACGAGGAAGAGCTTGTTGACTACATACGAGTTGGAGACGTTGAAGTAGTGTTTCAGGGCGGAGACGTTGACATATCGACCTATCTGTTCAAGTCAGTATCATAGCACCACCAAGTAGATGCATTCCCAAGACTTACGTTCTGTTCCACATACTCCTGACCATGTCTGAACGCTGTCTGGCCGAATTGCGCCGCCACCTGCGCTGTGGGATCGTTCATAAAGTTGCCATATGCGCCAAACACATTGCCGCTGGTGCCTCCCTGCTGCTGATATGGGTTTCCTCCGCCATTAGCAGCGTAGCCCTGCTGTGACTGTGCGGAACCTGGAGGAGGAGGCGGCGATCTTAGTTGAGGGACAGTCGAGACATGCTGGGGGACTGGGTGGTGAAGGGGGGGCGACTGCGCGTAGGCCGCTCGTTGCATGGCGGGTGAAGAAGAGTTACTGGGTGTTTGAGGAGTTATCGATGCCCTTTCGGTGTAGCACTGGGGTCGTCAAGTTGGGTGGGTTGAGTTGAATTGGCGATGGCGAGATGAAGCTATTGTTGTGTTTGGTTTGGACCAGCAGTTCTGGGAAATGTGTTCGATTCCCTCTGATTGGGCGCTAGCATCATGGAGAGCTCCAGCCTACCTCAAAGGGAACCTAGAGCTTAGGTAGACGTCAGCCCCTGTTCAGTTTCTCCAAAAGACACGTGATTGTTCTTTTTGAATGTAGTGGGACATGTATTGTATGTAAGTACATTGATTGAATGCATTTTAATCAATCACAGATATTGCTTATTTATTTTATTGTGTGCATAGTATCCATATAGTCATGGTATTGCTTAAGAATGCCATAACCATATACTTTAGAAGACAAACTTCATTGAGTTAAGTATTGGCCGTTAGGGTTGAATCTTGGGGAAGGCCCAGGCCCATGCGCAGTGCGGCGTGTCCGGGTCCAATCCCTGCCCGTCCCTCATTTTGATATGCAGCGGTTTTATCTTATCCGGGTTACTACTGTATAGTAGGTACTGTAGCCACATCTACCATCTGGTTCATCTTTTGCCTCCCCTGTTAATTTGCACTTAAATTTCCCATCAACTTCAACATTCTCGACTTCAACATTTCAGATTCAAGAAAAGAGAAACACACAAAATGTTAGACTCATTCGAGATATTAACCACTTCGGGCGTCGTCGTCTGGTCGCGCACATACACTCCCATAAACCCTTCCATCATCAACAACTTCATCGCCGATACCTTTATTGAAGAGAAGAGTGGCGCCATTGCCCTCAGCGACTCGAGATCTGCCTCTACCAATCCACCTTACAAGAGCGACCAACACACTCTCAAGTGGACTCTTGTCAAGGAATTGGGCATCATCTTCGTCGTGAGTACTTGAACTTTACTTGTCATGATGGCTTCTTTCCCCCTCCCGATCCTCGGCGCTGACGTCCCCACTTCCACCATTAGGCTGTCTATCGATCCCTCCTACATCTCTCATGGGTGGACAAGCTCGTCGACAATATCAAGACCATCTTCGTCAAGCTCTATGGTGAGCAATTAACGAAGCCGCACACTACCCTCGTCGAATGCCATGCCTTCGATGAATACTTCGACGTGCAAATCGAGGAGCTCGACCAAACTAGTACAAAGGTCCCCTCAACCACCATCACGGCCGGCGCAATCCCATTGGAAGAGGAAATCATTCCAACCACCACTGGCGACGAACCTCCCGTTGCGCCAGGTCTAACATACCGAGGGCGACATCTCAATGGACCTCAGGATGCCCTGTCAGCCGACGAGTCCACTCCCGCCTTGACACCGAATGGATCGCGACCCGGCACACCAAGCAACCACCTCCTCTCCGCAAAGGGTGGCCCTATCGCAAAGATCTCGCGACGTGCGCGCAAGGCAAAGAACCAAACATCCGCCCCCGCCTCTTCTGGCGACGAGGCGCCCCGAAAGAAGAAGACAACCGCCAAGAAGGGCCGCAAGTGGGACGCCGATGGCTTCGCAGATGAGGACGACGATGTGCAGCTTGACTACTCCACAAAGGCACAAGCCACCAGCGATTCAGAAGCTGAAGGAAGATCGACCGCCCTAGACGAGATCGACTCCAACACATGGGGCTCGACGTCAAAGGGGAAGTTCGTGCTGAAGGACTTGGGTGATGAGGTTCATGAGATCTTGGCCTCAGAAGCAGAGAAAGCAGCAGGGGCAAAGTCACAATCTAAGTCTGGTCTTCTGGGTACCGGTGTTAGTGCCATCAGTGGTCTTTTCCGTAACGTTGTCGGAGGCAAGACTTTGACCAAGGAGGACCTCGACAAGGCCATGAAGGGTATGGAGGAGCACTTGCTGCAGAAGAACGTAGCCCGAGAAGCTGCTGTTCGACTATGCGAAGGTGTGGAGAAGGAGTTGATTGGTGTCAAGACTGGCAGTTTCGAGAGTACGTTTCAACCAAACCCCCTATCACCAGCCCAACACTAACATACGTAATAGGTATCAATGCCAGGATCCAGGCCGCTATGGAAGCCTCACTG